CAGGTAAATCACTATGAGTCTGTTCTAGTAGTAAGACCCTAAACACCCTGTACACCCCACCCTAAAATACAAAAAAAAAAAAAAAAAAGCATCTTAAAGTGGGGCCTGCCACTTAGCCCAGTTGTTTAAGTGCCTGCTTATACAAACATAGTCAGGCCCAGGATACTGTGGTTCGATCACCAGATCCTCATGCCTTACCAGACCTGCCTTTAAGGCATCCTGAGCCAGCCAAAAAAAAAAAAAAAGCCTTCCAAATGAGTTACTAATTCAGATGCAAAACCGTACCCATTAATAGCAGAGTTAACCAAAACAGAGGTCTAGGCTTAATAAGCATTATTAACTAAGCCTGTGAAGATAGTATTATTGCCAAACTTTTCAGCTACATGAATAAGAAATTCCCACTTTCATTTAGCTACCTCAGTTTTATTTTTATATGCAACCAAGATAGAATTTAAGGCAACCTAGGAAAATAATGGAAAAACCCAGTCAAGATTCATGGATTATAAAGGTTGCGGCTACGAAGATACTAACAAAGAACTAAATCCAAAAGGCAAAGTCAGTACGGAAAGGGGATAGGAAAAAAACAAGGAAGCATGAGGTCAGAATGTGGAAGAATTAACACAGTGATTTAAGGATGAATTTAAATCCATGAAGAATGAGCAAATAATACGGTTTACTGCATACGTGGAGCCCAGAGCATAAGGTAAGATGGCTCTGGTAATCTAGAGACATCTTGTGTGGACACCACTTGATATTAATTCAAGTATAGAAGAGACTAAGAAGAATCCCTCTAGGGAAACTGACAGTTCTAAGAATACAGTAATGGTCGAGGAGTCATTTTATGAATTCAGGTAAGCTTATAAATTTTTTGATGTGATTTTCTTTTTCCTTTTTGAGATAGGGTCTCACCATGCAGTTCAGTTTGGCCTTAAGCTCACTTTGTATCCTATGCTGTTCTTGAACTTGCAATGATCCTCCTATCTCCGCCTCCTGAGTGCTGGGATTACAGGCGTGCACCATCACACCCAGCCCTCATGTGATTTTTTTATGTAGTCATGAAACCAAAAGAAATTCTAGAAGGTTTGCACAATCCAAGAGAACAAAATTTGACCTTCCTAAGAAAGCAATACCTGTCTTATTATTAACCGCTCTATAATGTGGTTACTTGACAATGTGAAAATAACTTGACATTTTTATGAAAATATCAGATGGTTATTATTTCTTTATTCCTCCACTTAAAGAACCCTACACTTGCTACAGAACAAATTAAAATGATAATACACAGTTTGATCTTTCACAGAGCTTTCAATTCTAGTAAAATGAAAAGATCCACAATTACTCAACCACTATACAAAAATAAACAATATACACAGAGATAATGGCAAAGCATTATAAGAGAGTTCAGAGAAGGAAATAATAATACCTGCAAAAAGGGAAGACCTTTGAAGTCAACCACCTCAGATTTTGAACATTTGGTTACTAATATTGACGAAGTTATGCAGTTAGAATTTAACTTTTTAATTTGTCAATTGGATCATGGGAATCATGGAGAAGAACCAAACTGAAGGACATTCTACATAGTCACTGACCCATACTCTTTGAAAATGTCATTAATAGGGGCCGGGGAGATGGCTCAGCAGAATAAGCGCTTCCCTGGCAAGTACAAGGGTCTAAGTTCAATCCCCAGTTCCACCAAAAAAAAAGAAAGAAAGGAAGGAAGAAAGAAAGAAAGAAAGAAAGAAAGAAAGAAAGAAAGAAAGAAAGAGAAAGAAAATATCATTAATAAAGATAAAAGTTGAAATTCTAGTCCAAATTAAAGATACACGACAATTGAATGCAATCATGCATTGAATCCTAATCATACATATACAGAAAAAGCATTAAATAGCACTTTATCCCTGAAAGACTTTACTGGCAGTCCCAAAGCAATAACCAAGGTTAATGTAGATGACAGATGATATCCTTGACTACCTCCTAACAGGCAATGGTAGAGTTCATGCAAAAATTACTTAATAGATGCTCTTATGCCCAAATTATTACCTAAAGAGAAATGGAATAGTCAATACTAAAATGTAAGGAAAATTTGCCTGCCTACCTTTCTAAGGCAGACACTGGTAATTTATGCAATTTATTCTACTTTTGAGGTCACTAAGGAGGCCTGGTTGAGTTCCACTTTGGAGATTGGCTTCATCATGCTATTTGGAGCCATCTTGATATTAACTTTAATTAAATGCCACATTAGACAAATTGAATGGATTTGGTTCCAGCCCCTGTCAGATTGATCAGAGTAACCAACCAAGTAGCATAATCATGGGGAAATTCATTAAAGTGTAGAAAGCAGTATGTGCTGTTGAGAATTTATGTATCATGAGTCCCTGTGTTTCTCTCTGTCCGGGGAAAAATTTTATTCTGAATTATCTTTTCAAGTGTATTTTCATAGCAGACAGACCTATGTACGTGGGACCCACTGGGCCTACTGCACATCATACCCATGGGACCAGGGGATAAAATAAGTGATACAAACAAAGTTTACTCAGCTTGCTGTGTCAGGAGTAAAAGGCCTTTGTTTCTGACCCAGAAGTTTCATGCCTTCCACCAACCTCTATGAGACTATGACAGCTTATTGTTTTGCACATAGAATAAACTCTGACTCTTCACACTTTCACTAATTCTATGCCAAATACTGTAATGATACCAGTTCTCTTCAAGTTGATCCACAGATTCAATGCAATCCCAATCTAAGTTCCAGGAAGATTTTTTGACAAATGTATTCTAAAATATATGCATATATAAATATAAAATACTTAAAGTAGCCAGAATAATCATAGAAAAGAATAATTAGAAGGCTTATATGGACTCTAGGCTTAAGAATTTTTATAAAGTATATTAATTGAGGCACTGTGGCAGTTGTATAAAATTAGACAAACATATCAATGAACCCCAAAAACATCCAGAAATTGGCCCACACATCTATAGCAACTGAATTTTGACAAAGAAACCAATTCAGCTCAGTGGGAAAATAAGAGTCTAGTGAATATCCACAGTTTTAGAAAGCCATTAATATAGACTTTACTCCATACATGAGGACTTTTAGCTACAAAGTTTCTTTTTTGCTCCGAATGCCTTCAGGGCAGGTTTAGCTGGTTTGGGTTCTGGGGATGGAACCACAGCAACCTGAGCCTGACTGCTTTGTTGAAGCAGCCACTTAAAAAGCTGAGCTAAGGGGCAGGCCCCCCCCCCCAGCTACAAAGTTTCTATAAACAAACATGGGTGAATTTGTCTGAGAGTTCCGGATAGACAATTTGTGGGAAAGATGTGTGACTGTTGGTTAATTGATGTCACCTTGAGTGGGAACGCCCACCTCAACTGAGTTAGTGTGGTTCTGGTTCTGGTTAATGGAGTTCTGCTATAAATGGAGAGCAAGATTTGATGCTGATTTCTCTCAGAGACGCTTCAGTTTTCACCAAGTAGGAGCTCTGGTGCTCGCCCTTGCCTTGAGCGTACTTCCACTGGCAGCTCGTGTCTTTTATCTTTGCCTTAGACGTGGTCTCCTGGTTCTCAGCGCCAACTGCGGATTTTTCCGCTTCCAGCGTGGACCTTGCAGCCTACCCGCGCAGACTGGATCCTCTTCCTTTATTCCACTGTGGCTTCCTCTGCCTCTCGGTGTGGGCTTGCCCAGCTGGATGTCATGGGCTCTGGGCCTTGGGCTGTGCTCCCCTGGGCCACTGTCTTGGGCTCCAGGCCCTCTACTGGATTCTCCGGTCTCTAGCCTTAGCCTGAGGACAGAATTCTATTCTTCAGCTGACTCTAGTAAGCATTGACTAGTACGAAGTGTAAAAGCTAACTGAAAAGCATAGATAACATGGAACTAACAAAACTTAAAATGCTTTCTCATCAAAAGATAAAAACGAGGAAGTGAATATGCAAGGGAAGAAATATTTGCAATATAGACTTTTAACAGAACTGTATTTAAACTGCATAAAAAAGTGTTACAAAACAAGAAGGAAAAGTCCAACAACCAATCTCTTAAAAATACAAAAGACTTCAATAGATGCTTCACAAAAAGGTATTAAAAAAAGATATTCAATATGTTTAATCATCACAGAAATGCAAATTAAAATAACTAGATACTTCACACTCAATAAAATTATCATAATTAGGCAATAAAAAATTAAAAGGGGAGAGAACTCAAAGCAACTGGATGGGAAGAGGTGTTTAAAATGGTAAAACCACTGTGGAAAAAATATTTGGCAGAATCTTGTAAAGTTAAACCTACCTCTAAACTACTGTTTAGTAGTTCCACTAGATATTTACTCCCATTCAAGTGAAAATACATGGCAACAAAAAGACTTGTTCAAAAATGTTCATTACAGTTTGACATGACAATGACAAAATTGGAAATAGTGTAAGCATCTACCAACAGGAAAATAGATGAGCAAATTATAGTCTGTTCCTCCAAGGGAATATTATTTATTAATAAAAAAAGAACAACCCAATAACATAAACAAAAATACTGATAAATATATAAATGTATATACATTGATAAAACTCATCAAATTCATAATTAAATCTATAGAATTCGCTGTGTATAATTCTCAGTTTAAACAAAAGAAGAGTAGAACATACATTTTATTTAAAATTCAATTTCCTCCAGCCTACTCAAGGTCTATCATTCATATTAAATAACTAATGAGATTACTTGCTCTGTTTCCACAGGTGTTGCAAGAGAGATCTTCTCAGACCTCACACAGCTACCAAGCAACACTGCCAAGAAAATCACTAATCAAAATCTGATAGTGTCCTCTGAGGATAGAGTTCAACAGCGCAGCACATGCCTGGCAAGCTCAAGGCCCTGAGTTCAATTCCCAGTACGAAAAAAAAAAAAAAAAGAAAAGAAAGAAATTCTGATAGTGTATATTTGCCATCTAGACAAGAAAAGAACACTCTGGACTATAAGAGCAGGTGAGGCCCTGGCTGTCCAGCTGACACGGTTAAGCACAATGTTGGTGCCCCTGATTCTGGTGGCTGCAGCCTTGGCATCTGCTCATCATTCTGGAGAGGACTTTGAAGGGTAGGTGAACAGTTCCTTAAAGAATTAGTTCTTCTTTGCCCAAGAGTTTGGACACATCTGATTTTAAATGTTTTATTTTTCTGCTGTTTCGCCATTTAGAAGTAAAGTTTTCCGTGTCAGTGTTGACAATGAAAATCATGTGAACTTAATGCATGAGTTGGCCAGCGCCAGACAGGTAAGTAACAATTCTATACTTTAGGGTTTGGGATTTTTTTGGGGGGTGGGTTGGGGTTGGGCGATGGTACCAGAAATCAAATTCAAGACCGTGTGCTTGCCTGCTGCTGAGCTGTATCCTTGTCCGCTTTTCACATCTACTTTAAAAGTCTATTGTGCTGTGATTCCATCAAAGGAAGAATAACATGAAATAATAACTGTAGCATTTTTGGTAGCAAGAAATAAAAATCTGAAAAGTATTTAATGTCTCGATACCTTCTTTCTCCTAAATTAGATCACTGTACGTGGCACAGTATTATAGATCCGTGTATACTTTTAAACAATTTGTGAGTGCAACACCTGAAAGAGTTGGAACTGTCTTGGACACTATAAAACTTGTCCTGTGAAGTCACCCTTCTAAAGCAAAAGAGAAAAATGATCGACTTGGATGTTCCTGATAAACTAGGCTTTTGTCCAACTTCAAATTCATTTCCACAACTCATGTATCATCTGTTCTCTTTGATTTTCTTTCATTTCAAGTCAAATGCTTGCGTTTTCATTACCTTGATTTTGGTTCCCTTAATGATAGAATGTAAGCCTGGAAAGAAAGCAGGAAAAAAAGGAAAAATAAAAACATGAGTGACTTCCTTACTTTTCTTCTGCTTTCAAGAAACTGAAATCTCTCTCCTACTTTCTGAAAACCACTGTGTCTGCATTTCAACAGATAACAGAATCAACATGTTTGACTACATATGTTTTGTGGCAGGAAGCTACTGTTGACCACAAGTATTTCTGCTTCAGCCAATGCTATTTCTTCAAGAATACACAAAATAAAATACTCCCTTTGCTCCTAAATATCTGTCCTTCATTTATCAGTCTGCATTTCAGTTTTTAGTCTTTCAGGTGTAGAAGAAGGAAGAAATAGTACCACAGCCATGAAATGAAGATTAGGATTGAAAGAGAGTTTCAAGGCATTTATTCCATTCTTCCACTGAAATCTAGAATTTCCTCCCAAGAAATAGCATCAAGCACTTCCAGAAACAATAGATTACCTACTTATATAATCACTCATTTTCCTTACAAATCATCTTAGTTTTCTTATATAGAACTAGAATCTGCCTCCTCTAACTTGAACTCATTAAATTGTAAGAGTCAAACACTGTGTTACCCTCAAGATTTATCTTTTTCAGGCTTTCTGTCATTTCCTTTAGCATAACTTTATAGGCTTTTTAGCATTCTGGTCTCCTCTGATTACAGCTCAGTCTTTCTATCTCTATTTCTTTGTTTAAATGTAGCTACCAGAACTGACATCAGGGCCCCAAGTGTGTTCTGATTAATACATACTGTAGGAACATTGCCTACGTTCATTTGTAAAGGGAACATTTATTAATGGAATCTAAGATTCTTTTTAGCATCTTGAACAGCCATAGAACATGCTTGGCCTCTGTTAAGTCTGTGTTCAATCAAAACCATTAGGGTTTTTTCTCACATACATTACCCTCAAACAAGGCATCCCCCCTTCTGTGCTTGCCTAATTGATTTTTTTTACCTAAATGTGGGATTTTAGATTTATGCTGCTAAGATGTATCTTGATAGCCTGCTTTCAACAAGTCTGGATCCTTTTTAAAATAAATTCAGACATCTAAGGAAATAATTCTTCCCTCTAATTTTTGCATCACCAGCAAGTTCTGTAAGTATGCCTTCTTGACTTTTATCTTTGTCACTGAAGAAAAGTATTAAGTGAATCAGGGCTCAGCACAGAATCGATGTGTCCTTTATGTTTTACTCATTAAGTACATATTTACCATGAATCTCCTGTGCACCGGACACCACATTAAGTACTAAAAGTGATTCATTAACCCTCCCTGGATAAATTTGCTCAGCCACTCTGAGTTAGTGGGGTGTTTATCTAGAGCTAATGCTGTGCCACTTTCCAGCTTGTAAAAAGGATATCAATGCAGAGACCTCGTCAAATACTTTATTGAGATGGAGATCCAGTATTCTACCAGGTTAGTGGTCTCTTCCAATACTAAGATGACGTTAATCGGACCTGACTTGTTCTTCCTTTGAATCATGCTTGCTCCTAGAGACCATAGCTCCCTTTTCTGAGCTCACACTCCATCTGCTTCCAGTTTAGTCGGCAGCTTTGCCAGAACTCATGCCAGGCCCCAGGAGCTCCTGCTTCTGGACTTCACCTGTTTTACAAAATCTGAGACAATTTTCTTCTAGTCTCTAGTGAGCCCTTTAAGCTCTCATTCTTCCAATATTGCTGAGAATGTTTTATAATCACATCTGCAGTTCTTTGTAAGTTATCTAAAATTCAGCATTTTATGATGGTCAAGAGTAGGAAATCTGGTCTCGGGATGCCGGGGATCAGTTCCTGACCTTACCACTTGCTGCTTGAGACTTGGACCCTACTCTGAGTCTTACTTTCCTCATTTGTAAACCATGATAATACCATTTACCTTAGAGCATTGTTGTTGTTAGATTTAAAAGAATTAAAAATAAAGCACTTAAAAATAATTTAAATAGGAAGGGCTACATGAGCCTTTGTTACCATCACTAGACCTGGGCTTCTGAATATAATTTATAAATTATGTTTGTATAATATAATAGTATAATCACTCATCCCTTCATCTACTTGGGCCTCTGTGTACTTCTTCCAGAAGCAGGATTGCAGTTCAAATAACATATGAAAAATTCTTAATGGTAATTTCATCTATTGTTAGAAGTAGAAACAATAATCACTAGCATCAAATCTTTCTTAAGACAATACAGGACCCAAAAAAGTTAGAGGACTACGTTTTCGCCTTCAGTCACAAACATATGCTTTTCCTCCAACAGTAAGAAACAGTTTTGTTTTCTCTTTTGTATTATTTCCATCATGAAATACAGAGAATTTTATTCCCTTAGCAGTCATGTGGAAGGGTATATTTTGGGTGGTAGCCTTCCTGATAAGATCATTACAAGGGCATCCAGTCTTTGTATTCAGCCTTGGCCATGCGTCCTTCCTTTCAGCTTTTGAACGTGTCCTTTTAAACGTGTTCTGAGTATGCTGGAGAGATCTGTGACCACGTTGCATTCTAGCAGCCTTTCTTTCTTCACCTGTAATTGTTTTTCTTTCTTTTTTTTTTTCTTGTATAGTAAAAATTTTATTTTATCTCCTTGCAATCAAAGTTGCATTGGTTCCTTTTAGAGATAGTCACCATAACACCTAATCTGATTTCTCTGGACTTTCTTGAATTTTGGTGTGTTTTTCTCCATATTTCTGATAACATAGCTATGGTCTGCTTGTGTTCTCGTCGTTGCTGTCACACCCGAAGTTTCCTCCTTGCTGTCTGAAATTAGGCTTGGAATAGAAGTTGCTTCTTTTTCTAACAAAGAAAAATATCTGCAAGATAAATTAAGGATCTGTGAGGTGGTTGACTTACAATCAAATGCAATACGAAAGAACAAATTTGTGAGGAACCAAAGATTTCCAACATCAATATTTGGTGTTTGTGTTCTAATCTTCTTCCTGACAGAATTTAAAGCATATATGCTACTGTATCTTGCTTTTGTGCTAGTTTTGTGATACAGTTTAGGAAAAACTCTGTTTGTTACCCACCTGGTTAATTAAATTGATCTTCTCACCAAGTTATTGCTTAAAGATATCCCCCTATCATTCAATAAATATTCTGTATGGTTTTCTGCCGCTCATTTCCCTACATTTATCATTTACAACTTCTATTTCATAATTTCTGAATATATAATTCAATTCTCCTCTCTGTGTATGTTTTACCTCATTTCTAAATTTTTGGCATTAATGTCATTCATAAATTCTTGACTACTTCTTGAAACCCATATTATCTCCTTATGTTGATGCTTTGAGTTTTTTGTGTCCGTACTTGGGGAACTGATAAGCAGTTATGGGGACATAGTGTTGTTCCTGCCCACCTGGAGCTGATAGTTGGCTGTCCCACTGCACAGAGGTGGAGACTATAGGATAGTTAGTCTACATCACACTTGCAACTCTTTACACTGGTAGATATTAACAGATTTACTAATTATAGCCATGTCAAACTAAAATTCTGAACCTCACATTAGGTCTGCAACTTTTCATCAATATGCTCTGTTAATATGCAATGTATTGATTATTGTAAATGTCCTCCTAACCTGTTTTGAAACTGTTTCATTGAGATTTTATCTTTTTCTCATTAAAATGAATAAAACTTAAAAAAATAAAAACTAAAAAAATATACCTAAAAAATGCTCTATTAAAGAATCTATTGTTACAACAGAATTTTACAGTGTTCCAATATTGGACAAAGCAAGAATCAATGAGCAAGAGCTTAGGACATTATAGAAAGCAAGTTTCAGTTTAACATCAGAAAGCAAATCATGGGCTGGAGAGATAGCTCAGTAGCACAGGTGCCTGCCTGGCAAGTGCAAGATCCTGAGTATGATCTCTGATACCAAAAAATTTAAAAAAAAAACAGAAGGAGAATAATATTCAAGGTTGTCTTACAGTTACCTCCAAAAACAGTATGGAGTGGAAAGCTAGCATTTTTTTTCTTGGCATACCAGAGATTGAACTCAGGATTTCACTCTTGCCAGGCAGTCACTGATGATGCTGTGCTATCTCCTTGGCCCTTGAAAGCTAGCATCTTTTTTTAAAAACAAATTTAATGTTTTTTTTCTTTCTTTCTTTCTTTTTTTGTGTGTGTGCAGGGTATCACTATGCAGCTCAGACTCATAGTGAAACTCCTGATTTCTGCCTCCCTAGTGCTGGGATTACAGATGTGCACCAGGGGGTGGGGCCAGCACAGCATGCAGTGCCAGGGATCAAACCCTGATCCCTGTACTTACCTAAGCAACTGTTTAGTCTGCTGAACTATACCACCAGCCCTGAAAGCTAGCATCTTGACAGGGGCCCATTAAGAGCCAAACCTTGAGGCAAAAATTTGATAGGATTTTGTTTGAGAGTGCAGGTAACACTGGTAAGAAAATTTTAAAAAGAGAAATGACACAGTAAAGGGAAGGCAGTCAACAAAAGTACAGTATTTTTAAGCTGGCTACCACAGAGGACTGCTAGAACTCAGCCCACAGAGAAATTTACAGAAGAGTACAAACTACACATTTCAAAATTATTCCACCATTTCAAAATTATTCCAAGTTCAGGAGTTGGAGAACCTAGACAACTACTCAGAGTTACTCGTCGAGTAGCTCTATAGAAAGTTATATTGTTGGTATTTCCTGACAAGCTAGAGCTAATAGTTGGGTTTTCCAAGTTCTGGGAAAAAGACATACAGATCTGGAAAGCAAGCACTCCCCTGAGCACAGGAAAAGTCCAAGCAGTTATGTGCAAGTAAGTCAGCACTGTCCAGGTAAGCTACCGACGCCTCGGGGCTTTGTGTGCTTCACCAGTGCCAGACTTCTGTGTCTATACTAAAGTCCCACTTTCTTCTGCTTCTTGCCTTGGATGGAGAGGCATATGTAGTGCAGATCTAGCTTTCAAAAATACACTTTATCATATAATGTCTTTGTCTGCACTGCCCTTCTCTTCCCAACATTGGCTAACCAGAACTTATCACCTCCTGTTTTCTCTGTTCTTATCATGTCATGCCTTTGTACTTCCTCCTCTGTCCTTTAACTTCTCATCTTTATCCTGTAACCATTGACTCACTGAGCTACAACTAATACTTACTCAACCAACAATACTTTCTCCTTTTGACCCTTCTGGTGAGAGCCACATTCACACCTTTGCTTCCGGAATCCTGTTGGATAGATGCTCAGTTCTTGCCTTCCATTGGCCTAGAATTCTCTGTAGGCCTAACCCAGGACTGAGAACCCGCTGGACTTCCACAGCGGTTTAACTACAGCTGGAACAGGATAAAGTTTACTGGTTTCTCCACAGATATATGTTAAATCAAATAATATTAAAACCTTACCTCCCCAGATTCTTGTGTAGTCTCTTAAGACTGTCCAAACTTCCTTTCCGGTTTGCAAGCAATGGTTCTTAGTATCACCATCACTCACGTATCAAGCCTAAGACTGACCCACAGACATCCAAACAGGAACTGGATGAAGCACAGAGGGAAAGAAAGATGCAATGTCAGGCTCCCAGTCTTCTGGGCCTCTACTCAGCACAAGGGAGAAACAAGAAAACATGTTCTTACATGTACCTGTATAGTTTAGTTATTAGTTTTCTGGGGACAATGGACATTTAAAACTAAACATCCACCAATAAATCCATTAGGATCATCAAATGTGTCACACTGTTATTTTGTATTTCTTCTGAAGTTCTTCCATGGAGACAGAGGTCATTCCTAATTTGCCTTCTGAGATATCCATAATCTCAGACACAGAGCCCATTAGAAAATAAATCCTCAGTGCTTGCTTCAGCAGCAAATATACTAAAATTGGAACGATATAGAGCAGATTAGCATGGCCTTGTGCAAGGATGACACGCAAATTGGTGAAGTGTTCCATGTTTTTTTTTAAATTAAATAAATAAAATAGGTCCTCAACAATAGCTGAAAAATAACTAACTAAATAAAAATGTCAGGACATTACTGGATGCCCAAGTGTATTCTCATTTTAGCCATGATGCCCAGACAACTGCTGTGGAAAAATACCTTGTTTCTTTTTGTCTACCTTCCATGGGTCAAGGATGATCCTGGCTTTACACATTACTAAGACATGGATAGAATCAAGTTCAAAGATTAACTCCTAAAATAAGTTCATTAAAAAGTGAAAGGGAGGGCCAGCCAGAGAGCTCAGTGGATTAAAGTGCCTGCTTAAGTAGATGCAGGGACCAGGGTTTGATCCTTGCGTGCAGTGCTAGGGTGCCCACACCCAGGGCACCCTGAGACAGCAATTGAGACTGGGCGTGGTGTAATCCCAGCACTTGGGAGGCTGAAAACAGGAGGATCACTATGAGTCTGAACTATGTAGTGAGACCCTATAGATGCTGTACTTAATACCAAAAATAAATAAATAAATAAATAAATAGGAAAGCTCAATTTTTTCCACAAAATTTGCTCACTGTAGCTACTTCATTATCACTCATTCAGATACTTACCCATCATCACTAAGACTGTTACCACAACAAGTACTCCAGAAAATCAATGAGTAGAAAGGAGCAGTTACAGAATACTGCAGTTAATTGGCATTGTAGAAAAATAATAATATGTTTTTCATGTTTATTAATAATCAGTTAAGGTTATGTATGTATTTGTAAATATTTTTGTAGACATCTAATTGCTTAGTCCCAAACTGTACACTTAATGGAGATATCTTTAAGAGACTATGTGGGTCATTTTATTTTGAAAATAACTCAGTGAAATAGCATCACAGTGTCCTATCAGAGTATGCCTGTACTGAATTATATAAATCTAAAAGAGTATATCTTGATTTTTATTTAGATTGACTTCTGGAAACCAGATTCTGCTGCTCAAATCAAACCTCACAGCACAGTTGATTTCCATGTTAAAGCAGAAGATGTTGTCACTGTGGAAGATTTCCTGGAGCAGAACGAACTACACTATGAGTAAGTTTATGTGTTGTAGCCATTAATTCTCTTCCATTGTGTGCATTTATCAGAGTCTTGGAATAACCCTGGGAAGGAAAAAAATGAGACCCAAACCAGGCCTTCCCCGTGCCCTCACCAAGAGGTAATGGCAGCACTAGTCTTGAAGTACATACCTTAAGACTTTGGTCTAGGTAAATTTTATGTTTGATTGATACTCTAACGATACTCTGGTTTCTCTTCAGATCGTATAAATCTTTCCCCTTTTACTAAAGATTTCCGTGGTGATACTCTAACGATAATGAATTTGACTCCTGAACCTCAACTCTAGCTGGAAATCTGATCTGTTATAACTTTAGAAAAATGCAGCCGAACCAGTGGATGTTCTGTTATCAACTACACATAAATGTTTTTGTTTTGTTTTGCTTTGTTTGTGACACTAGGGATTGAAAAATGAGGCTTTGTACAGAGCTAAATATCTGTGTGTGTGTGTGTGTGTGTGTGTGTGTGTGTGTGTGTGTGTATTTTTGAAGCAGGGTCTTGGGAAGTTGCTAAGTCATCCGGGCTGTGTTTGACTTTGTGATCCTTTTTCTTGGGCTTTGTACAGTGATGGGATTATAGGTCATGTCACTCCACCTGACTCAGACACAGTTTTAATCCCAAATATTCTTCCTGGGTAATCTCACACATTGTGAGTCAATAGGACTCTTTCTGTTTACTTAGTTTAAAAACAAGATTAGAGACAGTCTGAGTGACCTGTCTGTCCTTTTCCCAAGATCCCACCACTATCTGTGCTGCTAGAAGAAGAATAGTGAGAACGCAAAGAAAGAAAACTGACTCAACCAAGATCTACTGTAGAGTTGCCTAAACTGATCTCTCATGTCTACAATGTCCAAATACCATGCTGGTCCATCTAGGTCTTTACAAGATGGCAATGCCTTCCTAAGACACAGTTGTCCATCACTGATCCAACAAATATATGTTTGGCGCTTCTATATACGAAACACTAAAAAGGCTAGATATGGCTTTCCTTCCTGTAGGAAAAGGCAAGCTTTAAATAAGATATTTCAATAGTGTAAATAGATGTTTGGAAGGGCAGAAAGATGGAGACTGAATGGAACAACCAACTCCAGGAGTCAAGGGAGGCTACCCTATGAAATGAGGCTGCAGCTGAGAATTGCACAATGAGGTGGGGTTAGCCAGACAAGGAAAAAAACCACACTCCAGTTAGATAATGGGGGTATTTAGAGAGGTGGCAAAGAACCTGGAGGTATTTACAGCAAGGAAAGAAAGAAATAAGACCTACTAAACGTAACTTGACTTTCTCAAACCTCAAGAGTTGGGGGAAAAAAGTGTCTCATGCATATGTCTGGTGATATGAACAATTAATTTGAGGACAACACTGCACTGCAACAAATACTGAGAAATTCAGATTATTTTGTTAGGTGAAATTTTGTATCACTTGTAAGTTTTCTGTTTTAACACTATTTTGTACTTCCTTGAAAAAATAAAAAAGATCAGCCTTCAGAAAGAAAGAAAGAAAAAAAGAGAGAAAGAGAGAAAGAAAGAAAGAAGTTCTTCAGTACAAAGCAGAGCTCTTCCTCCAAAAGTGGGCCAGGGAAGAAAAGAGAAAAATTCTTCATTGTTATTTTATTTTATTTTATTTTATTTTATTTTATTTTAAAGAGAAATTATTTTTGAAAGCATTAGAAACAATAGAGAATTTCAAAAAGTAAGAAGGTCTAGTTCCAAGTGTTCAAATACTATTCAACAAACTCCTACCACATGCTAAGGTCTTTATAATGTTTTGAAAAAAAAATCTATGTAATTTTCACATTAGAAAATTTGTGGGGGGGGTTCACACCTTAATAATACAGAAAAACAGTATTTGTACCAATGATGACACCAGCCAGATCACTGTAAAATCTGTACTACCATCAGAAATGGTGTAGCATAGCACACTGAGTAAAGGCTTTGGTAAAAAACCTTGGATTGGATTCTGATCTCAGCTTACAACTTCCTGGCTGTGAGACCCTGGGTAACTTGCTTAGCCTTTCTGCGCTTCGGTTTCTTCATCCAAAGTGAAGATATAATGCCAATCTTAAAAGACTGCTGTGAAAACGAAATAAAACAGTGTGTGAGTTAAGTTGCACCTGGTATTACTGTCATTGAGAATGATGCTGTGGCTGACTACTATAGAAAAAGGGAGAACGTATTACCCTGTTTTAAGGACCAACAAAACTGTAACATTTGACCCCATTGTCATGCCTCATCTAGCTTCACTGTCTGCTTCTGCCTGAGGGAAGTACCAAAATGTGACCTCTAGTACCAAATATATA